CCAGGGCACTTGTCTTTGGACTAGTTTTCTTCTTTCTAGATTTACTTTTTTTCAGTCCCTGCTCCATATTTTCCTTCCCGGGGATGTGTGTGTGTGTGTGTGTGTGTGTGTGTGTGTGTGTGTGTGTGTGTGTGTGTGTAGCTTTTCAAAAGCAAACTCTCTTGTTAAATCACATCCAGGGTTTCCATGGCTCAATAAATACCAAAGCTTCAACGCTGTGTCCTGTGTAATCTGACCTCAGTTTGAGCATTCTTCCTCACCTAGTGGACTCCAGCCTCAGCAGGCTTCTTAATCAGTGTTTCCACACAGGAACTTGGCAACCAGCCTGAAGAGCGAGAGATACACCGTCCCCTCCGTCTGGTGTTCTCATGCAGCCCTGAACCCATTCATCCAAGCCCACTGCTTGTCCCTGAAAGCTCCTGCCTTGTCCTTGCTGGTGACACGGGGTCTTCCTTCTGTAACAGGCTCACATCTCGGTTCACATCTATGTCAGCGTTTTTTCCCAGCTCTGGCTGAGTGCAGTTTTGGGCGCTGCTGTTTTCTGCTTTGTGAGAAGCCACACGGTGCAGACTGACCACCTGGCTCTCTGTTTTATTCTGGCTTCCAGCAACATTCCAGGGACAGCCCAGGGTGGCATTCACTTATGGAGAACTGCAGGCAGCAAGTGCCTCAGGCACATCAAGGGCAGGGATGTTCATTTTTCTGATGTTTAACATCTCACTGGGAATTCATTTTTTAAGGCAAATAATGGCAAAAAAACTATTGTTCTTTTTAAATCATTCCTGTGCAAATGAACTTTTTAGAATACGAACTGTATTATAAGGAGTAGCTTAAAAATTTCTAAGATCAATGATTTTTTTTTCATAGAATGGGTACAGATTTTAAATTTTGTTTCGTTCTCGATGATGCCTAGCAACTGCAGCTAATATAAATTGGATAATGTGCTGGACCATTTTCATTGTCAGCTTGACTAGATTTAGAGTCGCCAAGGAAACAGCCACTGGGTGTGTTTATAAGGATGTTTCCAGGGAGGTGTGATGAGGAAGGAAGACCCACCTTCAATGTGGGCAGTACCATCCCACCGGCTGGCATCCTGGACTACATAAAGAGGAGAAGCCAGCATCAGCACCACTGTTGCTCTCTCTGACTCCTGATTCAATGTGCTCTGAGCCCCTTCACTGGCCTTCCGCACAGTGATGGACTGTGGCCCCCCTAATGGTGACTCAGAACAAACCCTTCCTGCTTTTAAGTTGCTTTTGTTGTGTATTTTTATCACAGCAATAATAGAAAGAACGGATACAGAAGACAAAAAGAGAATTGCCAATTCTGAGCATCATTTCATTAGGACATAGTTGACACATGGACATAGTTAAACCCATGTTTCTATAAATATTCTCAAATTCAATGAAAGGCATTTAAGATACTTGGATTAAAAAAAATCTTATCATTTTCCAGTAATTAAAGTGGCAGTCCTAATCAACCCCGCAGACCACAATTACTCCTAAAATATACCTGAGTTTCTGTGTCTAAATTTGAGCAGCCAGAGAGAACAGCAATGACTCACCACTTTTCAAGCTAAAACTGTCGTAAGTTGGGCCTCTATTCAAGCTCATTTTTCTAAGTCAACATCCATGGGTGGCTTTTCTCACTGATTGGAAAACTGTCTGTCCCCATAATGTGTATTGAACACCTCCATGGTACATGACTCAGAGACATGCTCATCTCCTCCTTTATGTGATTTGCTAGAGGAGATGGCGGAGCAAAGAGGGTCAGCCTGTGTGTGGAGAGTTATTCACCAAAAGAGAGACCCTGGCTGCATTTGAAGGATCCTGCTGGGCCTGGGATTACTCGCATAAATCTTCTCATTTCGTTTTTTCCCCTCTGTAGAAAATGAGGTACTTTAAAAGATAATTATGCCTTCATTTGGCTCAAAGAACAATTTCAAAAGCCTTCTGGTTTGATTTAGAGATGTCTTTATTCATCTTGCTTAGAAACTGGGAAGTGGAGGGGAAAAATTCTTTTTGGCTATCCAATAGAAATTACTGAAAAGTCTTTTTGTGTGTGTGTGTATGCAAGGTATGTGGAAGCCATTTAAGAAGTAAATGGGCAGCACCAGGTTGGGGTGGGGAGCCGTGGCACAAGCTGATAATGCATCACTCTGAAGGAGGAGCCCTGAGGGCCTTGAGTTGAAGGTCAACCTCAACTATGTAGAGAGTTCAAAGCTGGCCTCGCCTACATGAGACCCTGCCTTTAAACAAAACAAAACAAGACAAAACAAAACAAAACAAAATACAGAAGAGTGCAAAGATGCTTAAAATAAGGCAAGGATCGAGAACATCTACCGTGCCTACTTAATGTTTGAGGAGACCCACAATTTTCTCTAGAAGATTCTGATTAGAGATAGGTCACTCCCATTCAGTCAGTGACAGTATACTACATAAAGACCAAACCATGAGAGTAGACCTATATATTTCTGGCTTCTTTGGAGAAACTTGGAATATAAAATATTTGTGTTAAATAAAATTATTGATGTGACTTGGTTCATAAATATTATTTTGTGTTCTCATTAGCACGTGATTCACACACACACACACACACTCACACACACACACACACACACACTTTTTTGTTTTTGAGACAGGTTCTCTTATACCTAAAGAGAACCTTAAACTCTTGGTCTTCCTACCTCTATCTCCCAAATGCTGGGAATGCAAATGTATGCATCCATACCCTGGTCACCTAACATATTTGCTAGTATTTCTTTTTGTTTTTTGTCTTCCTTTCGGTACAACTATCTTCATATCTTACATAATTTCATTTATTTGCTCATGACTATAAATTTACACATTTAATGTCATTTCTTTAGACAACATAATGCCATTAGTAGAACATTGCAGTTTTGTTTTTTTATCCAGCATTTTACTTATATATGTGTTATAAACTGTATATGTCACGCTTTTATGTTACAAAGTTAGATGTATACATGATATTTTACAGTTTTCAAATGTTTTCCAGCAATACCTCTTATATTTTTCATCTATTCACTGTCCAGGCATTTTTTGGTTCTTTTCTTTTTTTCTTTCTTTTTCATTTTTTTTTTTTTGGTTTTTGGTTTTTCAAGACAGGGTTTCTCTGTGTAGCTTTGGAGCCTATCCTGGCACTCACTCTGTAGACCAGGCTGGCCTCAAACTCACAGAGATCCGCTTAACTCTGTCTCCCAAAAGCTGGGATTAAAGGCATGCACCACCAATTCCGGGCTATTTGTTTGTTTTTTTTTTTTTTAATTTTGTTTGTTTCTTTCATTCCTCTGGTTTCTATTGTTTGGTAGAAGTCTGGTGGCATTAAATTCGTAGGCTGTTTTTCTTTTCATTGTCCAAAACATTTTATCTTGATTTTTGCTAAACACAGGGTCTATTTTTAGAAGTTGAAAGCCAATTGAAAGACCCCCTCCCGACATAGCCCACCAGGAACTGTCTGAGTTCACGCTAAGGTCGAGGGCCCCTGGTGCCTCGAGGGCTTGACAAACAGGATATTAATGGTCGGCCATCCGAAACTGGGGAGTTAAAACTGGGGAGTTTCCCATCCACAATGTGCCCGAGATGAAAGCTAAGTCAGCCACCTGCGACTTCCTTGTATTCAAGCCAGGTGGCCCCAGTCTAACCTCTCACCTCATTAAATTTGACCAATGGAAATCCTGTGACCATGCATCCGCTTCTGTACCCACGCTTTTCGCTATATAAAGCATCCCCGTTCCCCATCTGGGCACGCTTGGTTCCCGAGACCAAGACGCCCGGGTACCCGTATGTGTGATCAATAAAACCTCTTGCTGATTGCATCCATACATGTGGCCTCGCTGATCCTTGGGGGGGTCTCTCAGATTGAAAGTATCCCAGGTACGGGGGTCTTTCATTTGGGGGCTCGTCCGGGATGAAGACCCCCGCCCAGGGACCACCGACCCACCACTGGGAGGTAAGCTGACTGTGCGGATCCGCTGTTTGTCTGGTGTCTTGTGTCCTCTAGTGTCTGCCCGCCCGATCGTATGTGTCTCTGAAACCGCGCCTGCGTCCGTAGTACTCAGCTGTGTACATCTGTAATTGGCGGTAGGGGGGGAACGACGGGTTCGTAACCCCCCCCCACTGAGGCTCCGGGAGACGTCCCAGGAGCGTCTGATTTTTGGCTCTCACGGGTCTATGCCCAGGCATTTTTCCGTCCTGTTTGGAGCCGTCCCTCAAGGAGAGGGATTTTCAGCCCTACTGAGGGAGGGAGAGAGGCAGGTTGCCCTCCCATCTGAGAATTTGCTTTCGGTTTTGCGCCGAAGCCGCGCCGCGCGACTTCTTTGTCTGTCTCTGTGTTTGTTTCTTGTAACTGGTATTTGTGTCTTCATCCTTTCGGAAGAAATGGGACAAGCAATTACCACCCCTTTGTCCCTCAGTCTCGAACACTGGAAAGAAATTCAGGAATATGCGCATAACCAATCCGCTGAAGTGCACAAAAAGAAATGGGTAGCTTTCTGTGCCTCCGAATGGCCCACCTTCGACGTCGGGTGGCCGCGGGATGGCACATTTAGCCTAGACATCATTAGGCAGGTAAAAGAAAAAGTCATGGACTCAGGGCCACATGGACACCCTGACCAGGTGACATCATCACCTGGGAAGCTCTGGTTCAGAAACCGCCTGCATGGGTCAAGCCGTTTCTCTCTGGAGTGGTCTCTCTCTCCCCCAAGTCTGCCAAACCATCCGCACCCTCTCTCCCCCCTCCCCTGACCCCACTCCCCGCCCCTACCCACTCCCGATCCGCCCTATACCCAGCTCTTGTGCAAGCCTCTCCTAAGGCGCCCCCCCTCCCCAAACCTAAGGTCCTGCCTGCAGGGGAAGAGACTCTGCTTATGGATCTCCTGTCTGAGCCGCCTCCATATCAAGAGGCACCCCACGAGGCGGCTAATGAGGCAGAGGCCATGCCTGCCGAACGCCCTGCTGCGACTGATGAGGCAGCCCCCTCACCTATGGCAAGCCGCCTCAGGGGGCGACGAGAACAGGCCCCTGCGGACTCCACCGCCCTGCCTCTGCGTACCGGCCCGGACGGCCAGCTGCAGTACTGGCCGTTCTCCGCCTCCGATCTCTATAATTGGAAAAACAATAATCCTCCTTTTTCTAAAGATCCCTTGCAATTGATCTCCCTTTTAGAATCAGTCCTAGTGACTCATCAACCCACCTGGGACGATTGCCAACAGCTTTTACAGGTGCTACTGACCACTGAGGAGAAGCAGCGGGTCCTCCTCGAGGCGGGGAAGAATGTGAGGGGAGCGGACGGACAGCCTACCCAGCTCCCTAATGAGATCGATGCGGCCTTTCCCTTAACCAGGCCGGAATGGGATTTTGCTACTGAGGCAGGTAGGACCCATCTTCGTCTCTACCGCCAGTTGCTCATAGCAGGTCTCCGGGGGGCAGCTCGGCGCCCCACCAATTTGGCTCAGGTAAAACAGGTTTTGCAGCGAGCAGAGGAAACGCCCGCCGCGTTCCTCGAGAGATTGAAGGAGGCATACCGCATGTATACGCCTTACGATCCGGAGGACCCAGGACAAGCCACTGGTCTTGCCATGGCGTTTATCTGGCAGTCCGCCCCAGATATCCGTAATAAGTTACAGAGGCTGGACAATTTACAGGGGTATACGGTCCCTGATTTGCTAAAGGAGGCAGAGAAGGTATTCAATAATAGAGAGAGCCAGGAAGAGAGAGAAGAGCGTTGGAGAAGAGAAAACATTGAGAGGGAGGAAAGGCAGCGAAAGGAGATGGAAGAGAGAGAAAATGCCAGGGATAAAAGGAGACAGAGGGAGCTTTCACGGTTGATGGCCACTGTAGTGTCAGGACAGAGACAGCGGCAGGATAGACAAGGAGGAGATCGAAGAGGACCCAGGGTAGATAAAGATCAGTGTGCCTACTGCAAAGAACGGGGACATTGGGCTCGGGAGTGCCCAAAGAAGCAAAATTGGAACAGAAATACAAGACCCCAGGCCTCAACTTCTCTCCTAAACCTAGAAGACTAGGGGAGTCGAGGCCAGGAGCCCCCCCCCGAGCCGCGGCTAACCCTACACGTTGGGGGGCACCCCGTCACCTTCCTGGTGGATACAGGGGCACAGCACTCCGTTTTGACCAGGTCTCCTGGCACGTTGAGCGGCCGCACGGCCTGGGTCCAGGGAGCCACAGGAGGGAAGACCTACCGCTGGACCACCGACCGGCAAGTGCAACTAGCGACTGGCAAGGTAACCCACTCCTTCCTCCATGTCCCAGACTGTCCATACCCATTACTGGGTAGGGACTTATTAACTAAACTAAAGGCTCAGATACATTTTGAAAAGACTGGGGTCAGCATCACTGACCCGTCGGGAAAGCCGTTGCATGAAGATGAATATAGACTACATGAACGAAGCAAAAAGGCCCCAACCGATATGGAGGGATGGCTACTCAAGTACCCCCAAGCATGGGCAGAGACCGGGGGCATGGGTCTCGCCGATAGCCAGCCACCCATAATTGTGTCCCTGAAAGCGAACGCCATCCCAATCGCCGTAAAGCAGTACCCAATGTCCAAGGAAGCCAGAGAAGGCATAGCTCCTCACATCAATAGACTGTTGGATCAAGGGATCCTCGTACCCTGTAAGTCCCCCTGGAACACCCCTCTATTACCTGTCAGAAAACCAGGAACGGGGGACTACAGACCAGTCCAGGACCTCCGAGAGGTTAATAAACGGGTTGAAGATCTACACCCCACAGTGCCCAACCCCTACAACCTCCTTAGTGGGCTATCGCCTACCCACGTCTGGTATACGGTCCTGGACCTCAAGGATGCCTTCTTTTGCTTGAGGCTACACCCCAACAGCCAGTTGTTATTTGCCTTTGAATGGAGAGACCCAGCTCGGGGAATCTCCGGTCAGCTGACCTGGACAAGGCTACCCCAAGGGTTTAAGAACAGCCCCACTCTCTTTGACGAGGCACTGCACCGGGATCTAGCCGTTTTTCGGGTCCAGCACCCCTCTCTGATTCTGCTCCAGTACGTAGATGATTTGCTGCTGGCGGCTACGTCAGAGGAAGACTGTCGCCGGGGTACCGAGACCCTACTCCAGGTCTTGGGGAGTCTGGGGTACCGGGCGTCGGCCAAAAAAGCCCAGCTCTGTTTAAAACAAGTGACCTATCTGGGCTACAAAATAAGGGAGGGGCAGAGGTGGCTAACTGAGGCCAGAAAGCGAACCATTCTGAACATTCCCGCCCCAAGAACCCCCCGTCAATTACGGGAATTCCTGGGGACCGCAGGGTTCTGCCGCCTCTGGATCCCGGGTTTCGCTGAGTTGGCCGCTCCCCTCTATCCCCTCACGCGGACCGGTATCCCCTATAACTGGGGAACGGACCAGCAGCAGGCCTTTGAGAATATCAAACAGGCCCTCCTACACTCCCCGGCCCTGGGACTGCCCGACTTGCTGAAGCCCTTCGAGTTATACGTTGACGAAAGACAGGGCTACGCGAAGGGGGTGTTAACCCAGAAGCTGGGACCATGGAGGAGGCCGGTGGCCTATTTATCCAAGAAACTGGACTCAGTGGCCGCAGGATGGCCACCCTGCCTCCGGATGGTAGCGGCGATAGCAATTCTGGTTAAAGATTCTGGCAAACTGACTATGGGTCAACCCCTTACCATTCTGGCCCCGCATGCTGTTGAAGCAATCATCCGGCAACCTCCGGACAGATGGCTCACCAATGCGAGAATGACTCATTACCAAACCTTACTATTAGATACCGACCGAATCCGGTATGGGGCCCCGGTGGCCTTAAATCCGGCCACCCTCCTACCTCTCCCTGGCACCCCCGAACACCATGACTGTCAGCAGATTCTGGCCGAGGTACATGGCACTCGCCCAGACCTCTCAGACTTGCCCCTCCCCAACCCTGAACACGTCTGGTACACGGACGGGAGCAGCTTCGTGGAGCACGGAGAGCGGCGGGCCGGAGCGGCGGTGACCACGGAAGATCAGGTAATATGGTCCCAAGCTCTACCTGCAGGAACCTCCGCTCAGAAAGCGGAGCTCGTAGCTCTGACCCAGGCTCTAAGACTGGCGGAGGGAAGGAGATTGACGGTGTATACCGACAGCAGATATGCCTTCGCCACGGCCCACATCCATGGCGAAATATACAGAAGGAGAGGTTTACTTACTTCGGAGGGAAAAGAGATTAAAAATAAAAAAGAAATACTAGCCTTGCTACAGGCCATCCATCTGCCGCGAGCTCTCAGTATCATCCATTGCCCGGGGCACCAGAAAGGGGACACTCCAGTTGCAAGAGGCAACAGGATGGCTGACTGGGCAGCGAGGGCGGCCGCCACCGAGGGAAAACGGGTCGAAGTCCTATCGGTTGACTCTAGACCTCATCATGATGACTCCCGATGGGAATACACGGAACAAGATGTCAAGGCTCTGCGCTCCCTGGGAGCACGGGAAGATCTAAAAACTGGGAAATGGATGTACCAAGGAAAGGTAGTGTTGCCCTACGAAATGGGCCGCCATTTGATCTCCTGGCTGCATCGCCTCACGCATCTCAGCTACCAGAAAATGAAAAAGCTTCTGGAACGGGAGGAAGAGGTCTACTTCTTTCTACAGAAGAACGATCTTCTCAAAGAAATCACCGAACGTTGTGACGCCTGCGCCAGGGTGAATGCTTCTAAAATCAAGCTGCCTCCGGGTATAAGAACCAGAGGTCACAGGCCCGGCACTCACTGGGAAGTAGACTTTACTGAAATAAAACCGGGCAAGTATGGATATAAATATCTACTGGTTTTTGTAGATACCTTTTCAGGATGGCCGGAGGCATTCCCGACAAGACACGAGACTGCCGCTGTGGTGGCCAAGAAGCTATTGGAAGAAATCTTCCCCCGATATGGGATGCCTCAGGTAGTAGGGTCAGATAATGGTCCCGCCTTCATCTCCCAGGTAAGCAGAACAGTGGCCACCTTGTTGGGGATTGATTGGAAACTACATTGTGCATACAGACCCCAGAGCTCAGGACAGGTAGAGAGAATGAACAGAACGATTAAGGAGACCTTAACCAAATTAACGCTTGCAACTGGCACTAGAGACTGGGTCCTCCTGCTACCACTTGCCCTGTATCGGGCTAGGAACACGCCCGGACCACATGGGTTAACCCCATTTGAGATCCTGTTTGGGGCCCCGGTGCCTATTGTTAATTTCTTAGGCCCCGATGTTTCTGACTATGCTAATACCCCTTCTCTACAAGCCCATCTACAGTCCCTCCAGCTGGTCCAGAAGGAGGTGTGGGAACCTCTAGCCCAGGCGTACCGGGACCAAAGAGACAATCCGGTCGTGCCCCATCCGTATCAGATCGGAGACGCTGTCTGGGTCAGACGCCATCAGACCAAAAACCTCGAACCTCGCTGGAAGGGACCATATTTGGTTCTGTTGACCACCCCTACCTCGGTAAAGGTTGACGGGATTGCTGCTTGGATCCACGCGAGCCACGTCAAGCCAGTCCGATCAAACGACCCTCAGCCACAAGGAACATGGACAGCCCATCGCACCCAGAACCCTCTAAAGATAAGACTCTCCCGAGTTGTTTAATTATTTTACTGTACTTTGTGCGAGTAGAGGGAAGCCCTCACACCCCGCAGCTCTTAACTTGGCAGGTGTTCTCCCAGACGGGGGAGATGGTCTGGTCTCTCTCAGGCTACCACGCGCCGGGTACCTGGTGGCCCGCCCTCACTCCCGACTTCTGCCACCTGGCCGCCGGGCTGGAGACCTGGGATATCTCCACAGTCGGGGCCCATGAGATGACTCAAAATATACAGTCTCCCCTGCCACCCCTAGGAAAGACCTGGCCACAAGGGTGCCGCAATCCTAGAGCTAGATGTCTCCTGGCACAAATGGACTTCTACGTCTGTCCTCAACAAAGACAGTCTCGAGCCTTAAGATGTGGGGGATACGAGAGTTATTTCTGCGCCAATTGGGGTTGTGAGACGACGGGGGATGCCTACTGGAAACCCAGATCATCCTGGGACCTGATTGAGATACACCGTAATTATTCACGGTCCCCTCTGGGCCGCTTTGATTGTGATTATGGCCCTGGTAGATGGGGCTCTTGGTCCTGCAATTCAGCTACCTGTCTCCCCCTCAACATTACCTTCACCCAAAAAGGCAAACAGGACTATACTCAGTGGTTAAAAGGAAAAACCTGGGGACTGAGATGGCACATGCCATGGGAAGATAGAGGCGTTATCCTCAAAATCCGTTTAACCGCCCAAACTAGTTCGGCCCCTATCGGGCCAAACCCCGTGCTGGCGGACCAACGGCATCCCTCCGACCCATCCGCCCCTAAGCCAGAACGCCTTCCCTCACTGAACGCCACCAATTCGCCCCCCACCAGCACCACTGAGGCTGCCCAACCCGGCACGGGGGACCGGCTTATAGGCCTTATCCAAGGGGCCTACCTAGCCCTAAATGGGACTCAACCTGACAAGACTCAGGATTGCTGGCTCTGCTTGATGTCAAGCCCTCCCTACTATGAGGGCACTGCAGTGGTCGGGAACTATTCCAACCACACTTCCCCACCGCCTACGTGTACCGAGGGATCCTCACACCGATTGACCCTAACTGAAGTCTCAGGACAGGGTACATGTCTAGGGAAAATTCCTCCCTCTCATACCCCCCTCTGCAACTCTACCCAGACCTTGGGCCCAGGAGCATACTATTTGGCCGCCCCTAATGGTACTTACTGGGCGTGCAGCACAGGTCTGACTCCCTGTGTATCTACCGCCGTTATGAGCATGTCCCGGGACTACTGTGTCCTAGTCCAGCTATGGCCGAGAATTACTTATCATACCTCAGAATATTTTGTCAGCCAGTTCGAAGAAAGATCCCAACTTCGAATTAGGAGGGAGCCGGTCATGTTAACGCTGGCCCTCATATTGGGGGTTGGGGGAATAGCGGCCGGGATAGGCACTGGTGCTAAGGCTCTCTCAGAAACCACCCAGTACCACCAACTGCAGACAGCCATGCAGTCGGACATTAGAATCCTTGAGGAATCGGTAACGGCCCTCGAGAAGTCACTCAAGTCTCTGTCTGAAGTAGTCTTGCAGAATAGGAGAGGTCTGGACCTATTGTTCCTTAAGGAAGGGGGATTATGCGTAGCTCTAAAGGAAGAATGTTGCTTTTACACCGACCACACTGGAATCGTGAGAGACAACATGGCCAAGCTGAGGCAGAGATTAGATCGGAGGCAGAAATTCTTAGATGCCCAACAGGGTTGGTTTGAGGGCTGGTTCAATAGGTCACCCTGGTCTACTACCCTAATTTCTGCCATAACAGGGCCCATAATGGTTCTCATTCTCATTCTGATATTGGGGCCCTGCCTTCTTAACCGTTTAACCCAGTTCGTGAAGGATAGGTTCTCTGTCATACATGCAATGGTTTTAACACAACAGTATCAACAACTTAAACAGATGGATCCAGGGTTGACTAAACCACTTGAATGAAGGATTCCATTCAGTCACAAGAGAAATGGGGGAATGAAAGACCCCCTCCCGACATAGCCCACCAGGAACTGTCTGAGTTCACGCTAAGGTCGAGGGCCCCTGGCGCCTCGAGGGCTTGACAAACAGGATATTAATGGTCGGCCATCCGAAACTGGGGAGTTAAAACTGGGGAGTTTCCCATCCACAATGTGCCCGAGATGAAAGCTAAGTCAGCCACCTGCGACTTCCTTGTATTCAAGCCAGGTGGCCCTAGTCTAACCTCTCGCCTCATTAAATTTGACCAATGGAAATCCTGTGACCATGCATCCGCTTCTGTACCCACGCTTTTCGCTATATAAAGCATCCCCGTTCCCCATCTGGGCGCGCTTGGTTCCCGAGACCAAGACGCCCGGGTACCCGTATGTGTGATCAATAAAACCTCTTGCTGATTGCATCCATACGTGTGGCCTCGCTGATCCTTGGGGGGGTCTCTCAGATTGAAAGTATCCCAGGTACGGGGGTCTTTCACCAATAATCACATTCTAATTTACTTAGTGACCAAGGAAAATTGATGTTCATTCTTCTTTTGTAGTGGTTCTTAATTTTGTTTACTTCGTCCTGATATAGAATTTTCTCTTTATTACACTGCCTCGTCTTCCTGAGGTCCTGAGATTAATTCCCAGCACCCACATATGGGCTCACAACTGTCTATTACTGTAGACCTACAGGATCCAGTGCCCTCTTCTGGCGTGCAGATACACATGCAGACAAAACATCCATATACATAAAATAAATATATTTAAAACTTTGTACCTATTTTCAGTTCCCCACAATTTCAAAGACTGTGTTAAAATTTTTTGGCGTGAATCTTCATGTCTTTCTGGTATATATGCTGAAGTGAGATTATTGAATCAGAGGACTTATGAGTACTGAGACCCTGCTCAGTACTTGATGGGCAGGTCACACCAACGTTCCCCTGGTACACCCTCAAAGGCACTATCCATTTTATTCTTGAGTGACTTCCTACCCAAAGTTGTCACTCTGTGAAGTCCAGAAAAAAAATAACAGCTTTTCCTCCTAATGTCTCACAGATAAGTTACCAAGATGATGACACATTTGGGACACTGACTAGTCTTAAGAAAGGATGATCAGACCCCTTCTTAGGAAAAGCCATAATGGTGCATTATTCGGTGGACATTTATAGAATGTGGTTCACGGTGAGGTTGAAGAGAGCAGGCTTCAGCTGGACCGAGGGACGACTTACAGCGTCTGAAGCATGGCACAGTCATGTCTGGGGCTGGCTGGTGCTAACAAGGCTGTTTTTGAAGCAAGAAGACTGTGAGTTTGGAAGCTGACAGTGAAGATCCCCGTGTCTCCTTGTGCACCCTGTGGGGAGGAAAATTCCTTCTCCATCATAGTCAGCAGCTAAGTACCGCAACGGTCCCTTTTGGTTGCTTTGTTGTTGTGAAGACAGTAGGTTGAGGCCTTGTGTATACTGTGTATTCAGTAGGGCTGACCCTCTCTTGTCTCCTCAGCAGCACGCAGTGCAATTCTGTCCTGAGGCAGGGCCTCTCTTACTGTGTCTGATACTGCACTGCAGAACTCCAGGTTAGCTGACCTATGAGCTTCTGGGTGGTTCTTCTATTTTGCACCCCCATCTCACTGTAGCATGCTGGGACCACAGATGTGCCCGGCTATGGCCTACATTTTCATATGGGCTCTGGGGGTCAAACTCAGGTTATCCGACTGGTATGGCGAATGCTTTTCCTACCCGAGCCATCTCTCTGATCCTCATATAACAATTTGCAGTAGTGTATATGAATTATGCAAAATAGTGGTCTCATTGCCATGCCACATAAAGATAGGTAAAGGTCGTTTGATTGTATTTACTCCTTTATCTCCAAAAGTATATTAATTATTAACAGCAGTGTTCAGCTATTTAAGGTAATGATCTCCTTCTCTAGCTCCATAAAGCCTTTAATAAACACAGTTGTTTAACTAATTCCCTTTTTACTGTGATGCATCTTAAAATTTCAGCAAAGAATATCAGGTTATTTTGCATCTATCTGGTATGCAGAGAGGGTATTTAAATTTGAGATGTTTCATTATGCATTTAGTTAACATGATTAAGTGACTGTCAGATGCAACCTTGAATGTCATGCCTGCGGAAATCCCTGATCTCTCTCGGTCCCTTCTATTGTAATCTCATGGCTTTCATCAGCCCTGAAATGGGAGATGAGAGAAAAAGGCATCTAAGGCTGTGTATTGTATTTTTGTTAAAAATATTATTACTATCAGACTTTATTATTTTTGTTTCAAAAGAGATCTTTGGTATGATATTTTGAGTTTAAAATCTAGTAATTTCACTATTGACTAAGAACATTCTGGGTTCTGAGTAACACGCTGTGTTGAGAGTTGGGCAAACCTGCTTATGGTTTGGAGCCAGCTGGTATAGAGGGCACACATGAAATGTTCTATGAATGACATGGGACCATTGATCTGACATCACACATAAACAGAGATGATGACAATCACTGTTCCTTAAATGCATGCTTCTAGGCTATTCTGCTGAGTTCTGCCAGCTCTTCCTGGGCTTGCTTCCTGTGTACCCTCTTTGATAACAGTGCGGTGTGATTTGTGTTGTGGATAACAGCTAGCTGACTTGACTTGCATTGCAACCAAGTCAGTAGCTGCAGGGTCTGCGGGGCAGCTCCAAGAGGCAGATGAACAAAGCTTAGAGGAAGCATCTTGGAATGATGAGGGCTACCCCATGAAGACTGTCTGCAGGTACACAGCAGGATGCGTGTTGGGGAAGATGGGATGTGCCTCAAACTGGGCTCTGTTACTAAGAACGGAAAGCTTCATAGACAGATGTTATTTGATATTCAGAAATCATACTTATATTAGAGACAGAGTCTCACGTTGCAGAATTGTCTGACTTGGAACTCACTCTGCAGACAAGGCTGACCTCAAACTCAACAAAATCCACCTGCCTCTACCTCTCAGATTCCAGGATTAAAGGCATGTTGTACTAAATTTATTATTAATTTTCTACTCAGAATAGGCTTGTGGGAGAATTTGAATGCTTAACAATGTTTTACAAAAATATAT